TAGCACTAGGCTCTTTTTCTTTTTTTTTTGATGGAAATGCTTAATCTGAGCTCAATGGGCCATAATAATTGCCTGTTTCTTCCAGTAGAAATAAACCCACTTGTATGTGACACTTGAAACCTTAACTCTGCTTAGTATTACCCACAGAATTGGAGACAGTTCTTCACCCAAATATATTTATGACAGCAGCACCAGTCGATATACAATACCCAGCCAAGGGCACTGGAGAATAAATCAGTCCCTGCAGCCTCTGCTGGAGCACAATAACTGATGGTGGTAATAAAACCCCAGGAAATTAAAATTCTGTGCATGCAAACACACATACCTAGCCAAGAGAAACCCGAAGCTCTCTGTTCTGGTGAGAATTTGCATATTCATAGCCACATACATGGGGTACCCCTTTGTGTTAGAAACACAATGGAACACCAAGTCTGGGGGTTGTCAGCACATTCTCACCTCCTTACAGTGTCCTCAGCATCTGGGGGCTTTCAGGAGACGTGTCCATGAAAATTGAGGCACCTTGTAGGGGAAAAGGGTAATCCCAGTTACTCCTTGAGGAAGAAACACTGATGTTATGCTTGAAAGCTTCTAGATGTTGCTGTAAGTGACTACCAAAGGCTCTGAAATCCCCATTTCCAGTTCATTTCATGCCGTATATTTATGCAATTACTGGTATTTTTAATGAGTCCTCTGTGTTTGAGCACCTTGGGCTCTACTTTGTGGCTTTGTGAGCTCTTGGGATGGATGTTGTTGCTTCACTTGTGTTTTGGGGTTTCAAATGTAGTACTGAGAGGCAGTTTAGATTAATACACAATATTATTTATACATTTATATACAAGCCCATGCTTTTTCCACATATTAAATAAGTTGGAGTATTATTTCTCTTGAATTCTGTGGGGCAGTGAGATAATGAACACTAATAAGTAATAAAAAGATGCAGTGCAATATCTGTTTCCAAATTAAATACAGCAGTGCACATGTGTACGGTGGCAAGGAACAAACCCAAGCATTTAATTTCTGACAGAAGACTTTTCCAGTCAGATGAGTGTCTAATGAGAGAAAGCACTGGCAGATGGATTGTGCAGCTAGTTTGAAATGGTGTGGCCTGTCTCTCAGTGAAACACAACTGTGAGAGGACAATCTGTGCTTTGATTTCAGCTGTTCAGTCTGTGTAAGAATGAGAGAGATGATTTCTCAATCAGGGGGTGGGCAGTCACCAGCTGGGAGGTGGGTCCTGGTAAGGGACTGTGACTCTGGGCTTGCTCACCTCAATCTCCAGCTCCACAGTTCCTGTGTAGGTACTGACTGTAATGATAAAAACAAATGTATTATTGAAATTCTAGCAATCCTACTTGCACTGTTGTTTTTGAGGTGTAGAAAGAAAGGCAGAAATATTAGGGGCCCTTTCATTTACCACACATGTTTACTTATGGTAAAATATCTAGAAGATAAAAGACATTAAATGTTCACCTATTATTTTTCAGCCAGTGGACTGTGCTCTGTTTCAAATAACCTAAATCCTGAAAACATTTTGGATTTGAAAATGTAGAACCACTGCTTGGGAGCGTTGAACTGCTACAGAAATGTTCTTTAACAGTTAAGCAGATACTTTCTGTAAATAACCTTATTACCCTCCTGTTGTTCCCTTTCCCCATCACCTAAGCCTTTCTTTAAAATGACACTTTACAAATTTCAGAACAAAAAAACCTTCCCAGATGGAGTGTTGGTGTTCCCTAACACCTGCAGTAATGCTGTTGTTCTCTCAATCTGTTCATTCATGGGCCCCATTTTCCTCATGGCCAGGGCCTGTGTGTCTCTATGAAGAGTGGATAAATGATAAATATATTTAACAGATATTCAGTCTCCCACCTGTTACTGTTATTTAAAGAAAATAAAACTGCTTTCCCCATTCTAGTCCTGCACTCACTGGGGATTGACACCAGCAGGTTGCACAGTATTTCCAAAGGGTCTTTTTTGGTTTAAAATGATGGAGCCTGACAGCAGAGGTGTCTTCAAAACTGCCATAAATTTTAGTCCTATAAAGGAGCCTGTAGTTTTTCAAAGCTTTTCTTTGATAAAATCTTTTAAAGTGAATGAATCTTTTAGGCATTCTTCCACTAAATTCATAATATGTGAGAGCTTGACACAATGACACTCAACATATTGACCAGTCTTGTACTAAAATAAAGAAATAGTTAATTGCATATGGTTGAATCCAGAGCCATAACAAAGTAAATTTAAGATTGAGAAGCAATGTATTTAAAATTGCAGGATGTGCACAAGGTTTGCTTCTAGGCTCTCTTGATCATTAATTAAATATGTTATGGCTTTCAGTTTTTCTCATTTATCCGTACAGGTTTACATATTGTAAATGCATTATTTATGTTTTCCCTTAAGTGCTCAGTACTGCCAGGATGTTTCTCTTAAACTGGCACAGATAACGAAAAAGACAAAATGAGAGAGCAAATTTGGCACTGGTGAAATGCTCAGAGAGCTGCTCGTGTTCAAATGAGCCTTTCCCAGTTGTATTTTAATAAACCTGATCTGACAAATAAAGGGCCAGACAGACAGATGGCATCTGTGTTTAAACAATGAAATATTTTTGTTTGTTTCATTGAGGTAAATTTGGTTTGTTTGTTTTTTTCCCCTTTAATCTCATCCTGATAATGCCTTATCACTAAGCCTCGATGCTGTTTTTCTGGAAAGCTCCTAGGATGAAGGGAGCTGAGGGAGCTGTCTAGATGGATGTTCACTCTGAGGGAAGCCAGCTCTGAAATGGATTTTGGTGTTGTAGCTAAAACAGAGTTTGGAATCAACCATTTGCTGAACTTGGAACCAAGGGATTTGGGGTGTTCCATCCCCCTGTTGTTTTTTACCTTTCAGAGTGAACTGAGCATCATGCAGGTGGTTGAATCAAATATTAATTTAATATAGTGTTCTCACATCCATAGGAAAGCTGTTTGTTTTAAGGTAAATTGATTTTTTTTTTAATTTTGGTTGTGCTGCCAGATATGGAGGAGCAGTTGGATGTTAAGATGTGGTCATCTTCTTATTCACTTACCCTTTGCTTCTCTGTTCTATTCTCCCACTGTTCATAAACACTTCTTTCCCATCTTAAATACAATTTTTTTATGGTGTCTGAGACATTAGGTATTTCATGTTTCAAATTACAGTAGCAAATATCTGCTAACTAAAACACAAAATTAACTATCTGCTTAAATAGTCAATAACTAGAAACCTTGTTCTCCTCTACAAGTATTTGATGCATTTTTTTCTTGTTACCTTAGAAATTTCACCTTTCTTGCATTCCAAATCTCCTCCCTCCATCCCACCACCAGAGGTTAAAATCTCTTAACAGAGAAAACCTAAATAACAAAAAAAGACCCTGAACAAAACAACACAAACTCACTTCTAACTTTGACCAGATGATCACTGTTGGTCCCTTCCAACTGAAATATTCCGTTCTATTTATTTTTAATCAAGGTAAAGAGATTTATGTGGAATTGAGATTTGAAATTAACTTTTGAGACTTATACAAGCACACTTACAATGTGGACTAATATAACCTTAAAGTGACTCATAAATGGTGTAAAATCATGAACTTTGAAAAGTGGAATTGTGTGGAATTGTTAGTCTGCCAGTGACAGTCACTTCTGCTGTACTTAATTTGACTCCTTAGGGGAATTGTAATTAGACTCATGCTGAATTCCTGTACTCCTTACTCCCTGCTGGGAGCTTCAAAGAGCATTTGTTTCTGTTAGGTTTGTGTTTTCATACAGGGACTCTTGTCAAATTCTGCTGTACAAGTAGAAGGTTAAGCCTGTAATGTACTTTTTAGGACTCCTTCTGTGCTGAAAACCAGACAGTTTTATTTTGTTTGTAGTAACCTAGCTTTGAGAAGTTGCCATTTTCATTATCACTACAGAGTAAAATTATCTTATACAAATGGGTATTGGTTGGTGTTTTAGCTGTTTTTAAGTACAAAGTAGTGAGAAGTGCATTCCAAACCTTTGAAGATATCCTCAGAAACATTGATTCCAATTTCATGTTTTATGCCTTGTTTGCCATCTACACCAATGACAGAACTGACAGTGATGACACTTTCAAGGCTAATTATGCTCCCTAATGATTCTAAAATTATTTCTGAAGAAAACCAAAACAAAACCCAACCAGACACAAACCCCCTATCTCCACACAGACAGATCAACACCCCAGAGCCTTCCTGAGCAAAGCTTGGAAAGCTTGGTGCCAGAGGTGCTGGTGCCTGGCTGAGTTACACACCTGGGAGCTGGGAGGCACCTGGGAATGGACATTCCAGGGTGGTTTTTGTTCCAGAGCTCTCCTTGGAGGAGCCTCCTCCCTCTGGCAGAGTTGGGGTGTCCCAGGCTGTGTTGCCACTGTCCCCTGTCTGGTGTCACAAGAAGTGAGGTCCTGCCCAGCCAGCCCCTCTCACACTCTGAGCAGTTTCTTGTAAATCTGGGAGAGCACAAACAGCAGTACGGAAAAAAAAAATATGCTGTGGAATCAAATAATGTTCAGAGTGACTTTTACACTGGGTTAGAGCTGGATGTTTTCATGGGAAAGTGTTTTATCACTTATTTGAAGCGCATGTATCTTTATTCCTGAGCCGTGCTGTGAATTTATCTCATATAGAAGTAGTGGGATATTCACAAATACAACAGACTTGTGATAGGGCACAAAAAGGGGGCAAGCTTCTTCCTGAACTGGACTGCCAGTCAGGTGTTTAAAATCTAAACAAAATTCTTTTCTACTTCAGTTTTGTTGTGAGTTCTGGCATTAATTTAATTGAAAATATAAGTTGAAAAAATATATTTTTTGCAATAATGATTCTGTGTGGATGCACAGGACAATATTGTCTTTAGATAAATGGTTGCATATCCAATATTTATATGTGTGAGACAGATAGAATAGCAGCTTTGTTGTGGCAAGAATGTTATGCTTTCCAAGTTATTTTGGCATTTTTTTTTCTTCCCTTATAGAGTTCAAAACAACAGATGAGTTGTGAAAGAGAACAGCTAAGGGTAAGTGCAATGATTTGCAAAATGTTCTGTTTCTTTAAAACATAAGCAGAATTTAGTCTGTGCTATTGACAGATGAATTCCTTAATTTGAGAGGAACTTATTCAGTTCATTTGTTGCTTGTTGGTAAATATTGTACATCTTTCAGTATAAAGGAGCTAGACAGATAGATGCAGGGTTTTTTTCTGTCCTGTGATGAGATTTGGCAGTGAAAATCTTGAGTAAAATCTTTGCCTCTTGGTGGGACCCCTGACACTCAGTGAGCTCCTCCTGTGCAGCTCCAGCAGTGCCCAAGGTCCCTCCCAGACTTGCTCCACTCACATTGTTTCCAGCAAGAGGAGGTTATTCTGTGGTTTTGTGTTGTGTCATTGCAGAGAGGAGCCAGGGCAGGGCTGGGAGGAGCTGGTATTTCAGTGTCTGTTGGTTGTGCACCCTCTGGAAGGGGATATGGAGTTCCTGAGCCCAGGCTGCTGATCCCTACAGTTTCCCCCTTTTCCTGTATTAGAGTGACTGTGTTAAACAGCTTTTAGTCTCTGCTGCCTTTAAATGCTACAGATCCCTGAAGATGCTTTTCCATTGCAATATTTCTTGATTGAGTCTAATATTTGTTTGGGAAAGTATAAGAGCCTTCATTAACTAAAAGAAAAAAAAACAAACCAAAACCACAAAAACCCAACCAACCAAAAGCTTTTTGGTCATCTGAGTGTTGCTTAATAGACCTACATTTATTGATAGCACATGCTGAGTATTTACTTGAAATCCCACATGCAAGTAGAGAGGGAGAGGCAGGCCTGAAGGAAGGGTAAGTTTCTATACAAACACAATCTATACAACAAAAAACTACTTGGAAATAGGAAAAGCAGCTTTTTATTTGTTTGTTTGTTTGCTGTTTACTAAGCATCAGCAGTGCCTGCATGACTTGCAAGTATAAAGAATATACTTGTCTTAAAGTACATTGTGCAGTGTTCTTGCCCATCCAGCCATTCTTTAGATTAACTCCACCAACATATCTAGAAGCTTCAGCTGGTCCTCACCACACTTGGAATGGGATTTTTGGTAAACAAGTTATGCAAGAGCAATGCATCACATACTGTCCTCAATTCTTTCCTTGCTGCCATGTGACTGCATTGCATTGTGCTGGAGCTGGAGTGACAAAGCTTTGTTTTATCAGCACTCATGTCTCAACAGAGCAGCTGTCAGAGCTAAAATATTGCAATAGTACCTGAAGGACAAGCTGCTTTTCAAGAGGTAGCAGTGCCTTGAGAACAAAGAAAGTGTTCATTTCTTTTTATTGTTTTTATTTTCTCCCTTGAATGAAGGAAAATATTGTTTTACAATATAACTTGAGGAGGCAATGAGCTCTTTCTTGGAGTAAGTTTGTGTGGTTTTTCAAAGCAGTGGATAAGAGGTGGTGCAGTGAAGCTTTCATGTCTTTCCATTCCAGTATTACACATTTCTGTCTAACAATGAGCTCAGTGCTTGGGATGCCTCTGTGGCAGAGCAAAATGTGACACCTGAAGGCAAAGCCACATCTGTAACCCACTAAATTGAGCTACATCTTCTTGCACAACTCCTCCGATGTTCCTGCTACACTAAACACAGTTTCTGGTGAAATTCTGCTCCTGTCCCAGAGATCCCTCATGGCTTTCACAGCTTATCTGCTGTGCCAAAAGGTCACACTGGCATTTCAATGTACTGTGTGTGGACATGGTGCACTTTGAGCACTACCGGGTGTCACTTGACCATTCTGCCACTTTTAGGTTGGCTCCTTAGCTGAGCAGTGCTGTTAAAGAAATGTTTCATTTGAATCAGGTTTTGGAGTTTGTTTCATTTGAATCAGGTTTTGCAGGCTTGCAGTATTTTCTTTTGGGGTTTGTGACCTGCCATGAGTACTTGGATGTGAGTCTCTTCACAAAAAGTGGTGCTTCATCCCAGCTGAAAGAATTGAAATATAACAGGGAAACAGGATTAAAATAACCAAATGCCAACATCCTGTTGTTTGTTAAACCAAGTCAACCAGATTATTGTTAAGTCATCTAAAAATACAATATAAAAAGATAGAATATCTCCCACTTCCTTGGTAAGTCTAAGATGGAAATGTTTGCCACTCTCCTTTTTTGGTTCTCTAGTAATTCCTTAGTCTAAAGCCATAAAAAACTTTTCAAAAGCAAGGCTTGTAAAAAGCAAAATAGTGTAAATAAATAATTAGTCATTATGATGCCTTGAGAGGTTACCTAGAGGAGAGGGTAGACAGGGTTAAAGGAATAAAGAGGGGATTCATTAAAGGCCTTCACAGGATACACCTTGGGCAGTGCAAGAGCCTGGCCAAGGCTCTGCCCAAGATGGACTCTGAGTCATGAGTTTTCCCACTTTTATAAGCTTTGGTCCATTTCCATATTGGGGTTGATTGTTCAATTACAGCTCACGTTGTGCAGTTCCATGCTCCTGGATTGCTCTCCTCAATTTGCTGCTGTTTGTACTTTTTGGGCCTGGAAAAGGATTGTTTTGTGTGACTGAGCTGTGAGGAGAACTTGCCAACACCTTATATGAAGTTCACAGTCCCACACTAAGGCAGTACAGAATCTGGAAAATATGAAAGCTGAAACTTAAGGCATCAATTGTGTGGCTATAGAAAGAAATATCCAAGTCTGATTAAAATCATTTCCTCAGATATTTCTCACCTCTTATCTTGTAAATTCCAAATGCAAAGCAGCATGTCACTGTTCTGGAATAAAGCACTTAGAGTCATGAAACTCATTCATATTAGAGCCTCTGGCCGTTATACATTATATTTATAATGAATGATAATCCTAATAATTAAGGAAGCCTGTGCTTTTTAACCCTTTTCTACTCAATATTTGAACTTCACAACAACCACAAGTGTGTAACTTATTTGCCCTGCCAACCTGATACAGTCCCCAGGTAAACATGGATGACTTTACCTGAATGATTTAAATGAGAAATTAGACAAAAACTATGGGAATTTTATCTCTGTCAAGGCTGGTTGTAGTCTTTATATTCCATTTGGAAAAATAGAATAATCTAACTTTGGTGCATTTCCATTTGATTTTAAAAAATAAAGCATCCATGTCATTTTTCAAATTTTACTTTCTCTTGGCAGTGATTTTTCATTAGAACGTGCTGCCTTGAATAATAATTATTTTCATGTTTCTTAATGTCCTTTTGCTTTCTAATCTGGTGTCACTTAAGTTATACTAAAAAGATAAAAAGTGTGTTTTTAAAGGCAAATTGACTCATCAGTATTGCTCTCCCCAGCTCCCTCCACACACTGCACTTCATCAGTGTTTCCTTTAAGGAAAATAATGATGCTCTTTACTCCCCTTCATTGTGTTTTGTGCTATCCAGTCCTGTTTATAAATCTCTTTTTGGACAGTCACAGCCTCTCCTCCTCTCTGCCTCTCTCCTGTTGCCCTTTGCTGCCTGTGTGTGGTTGGCATTCTGATGCATTACACACGACCTGTAAAGACACAGAACTCACAGGCTGCTCAGAGTCATTTCAAAGTGCTTTTCTGCTTGCAGTTCAGTCTGAAAAACAGACTTTGAAACATGCCTCGACCAGGTTATTTAAGGCTGTGAAGAAAATTGGGCTGTGAGCCCTAAGCAGAGATTATTTGGAGAACATAAAGCTATAAATAAGGGCAGTGCCAGCTCACAAGTCTGGCTGCTGCTGCCACTGAACCTTCCTTGCTGCTCTGACTTGAACCTGGCATGGTACTTTTATATCATAGCTAAGGACAGGCTAACTTAAAGCTTACAGAGCTTTACTCAACCCTCAACCCATCATTTATTATTTTATATGATTAATTCAGTCTAAATTAAATTCTGTTTAAAATGAGCTCCATGAGTTGTGCTGTAGAAGAGAAGGCTTCTGGTCCTGATGCAGCAGCACCAGATGAGCTCTCCAAGGTGGGCAGAGAGCAGTTTTAAACTCTGATGTTGGGAGGCTTTATAAATGTTCCTGTGAATAGCAATGAGGTCTAATGGTAAATGGTGTGATTAGCTTCCTTGATGTGAAATTCTAAGTGACCCAGTTGTTGCTCTAATTAACAGCTTCTTTCACATGTGCTTATTATCAAGATGCATTATATGCAGCCAAAGTTCCTTCTCTGGTCTGAAATACAGGCAGGGCAGGCTCTTACTGTCACCTTGTATTTAATATCAGCTTTTATGTTTTTATACTGTTCTAATTTTCAAGGAGACAGAAAGAAGTTTTGCATTCAATATTGTTCTATTTGTCTTGTCTCTTATCTCATTATTTTTCTTAAATGAAATAAGGTGCAACCTGCAGCAAAAAAATGTGTCAAAGTTACACCAGGTAGAGAGAAAACAAAAGCAAATGCATTTATGCCCAGCATAATTTTTAAGCAACACTGATCCTGCAGTATTTAGCTTTATTTGTGCCTTTATCTAGTGCATTAATTTATTAGGTTTGTAATCTGTATTGATGAGGGCTCTTGGAAACTTTTTAAAATCAACTTTTTGAAGCTCATTGTTGTGGCATTAGCTTTCTCCAGTGATTAAGAACAGTCCCTTGACATTTTTGTGCCCAGTGTTCCTCTGATGCACTGAGGAGTTACATTGTGATTCAGTGATAGACACTGATTTTTTCATCAGTTTGAGCTGAGCAAAACCAAACAAATAACTGGAGAGAAGAAGAGAATCCAAATGGAAGTGGCTTGTTAGGTAGATATTATCTCAAGGGTTTTCTGCCATTACCCAGGGTGATAGAAGGGCAGTGCATGCCTGGTGGCTGGCCAGGAACCTCTGCTCTCCATCCACCTCCTCCCACCCTGGACAGGAGGCAAGGAAATGGGCATGAGCTTGTTCTGTGAGTCACTGGTGCCATGTTACCAGAGAGCAACAGGAAATTCAGAGCATTTCTGCAAAACAGGACAGCTGGTAATAAAAATGTCACTTATTGCCTTTCCTCTGAAAACCCCTTGGTCTGCATTTGTAAACCATGTGTGTTCTGCCTGGAAGAG